GCCCTTTTATACCATAGCATGCATGTTGCAGCCTGAGATGACACACAGTCTCTGGTGTGTGCTATGGCACAAGAATAATCCCCTCCTTTGAGCTCTGTTTTTCAAAGCTGAGAAGTACCAGAGTGCTTCTTTGCAGTGACCAGCATCATCCCATGCTGATTTGGGTGAAGCCAGCCCTTACTGAAGAAGAACGTTCAAAACTTTTTGTAGGTGTTCCACAGAGACCTTACTGTGCTTTTGTCCCACTGTTGAGCTTTGGCTGCAATGAATGTGACATTGGTGCATCTGGGTATTTTGGAACCACAAAGAAGAATGTGCATAATGTGAGCCATGCTCCGTGCAGTGTCAGCACTCTTTTTCTTTTATTTCAGATTATGCTGCAAAATAGCAAAGGGAAATTCCTGTGTGGGGGTGTTCTCATTCATCCATCCTGGGTCCTGACAGCAGCACACTGCACTGAGACAGAGAATGGGCTCAAAGTAAGACTTGGTATGGAAAAAAAGTCTGTCACTGTGTTTTTTTAACTATAACTGTTTCGTCCCCATGGTTTATCATCTCAGGAGAAAAACTAGCAGGTTATGAGGACAAAAATCTTCTTGCCTGTAGGAGTAGATTGTCTAGGAAATATTTAGGATGCACCTTAGCACAAAACAAAAAAGTTTAGTAAAGATCTCATTTAATTTGAGCCACTACCAGCCCTACTGTGGAAGTGAGCTGATGTCTCCTGAGCACTGGTGCTTGTCTGTAAAGTAGCAAGGCTTAGTCTCTTCTGCTTGTGTTTTTCTGGTGATGAAAATGTTTGAGGTCATTCCAATAGTGAAACAGAAAAGTCCTGATCTCAGGAGGAGCATGTCACAGCTCCTCTTCTTGCCTTTTCATACATTTGAACACCATGATGAGAGCTTCAGTAGCAAAGGAGGAGAAGTGCTGCAGAATGGCAATGCTGCCTTTACTGGCAGTCCTGCTTTTAAGCATAAGAAAGTCTATGTCAGGTACAGTACTGATTCTGAGTTAACAGACAAAAATAATCATTGTTCTATTCACACTTAAGTAGATTTTTAATTAGTTTTCTGTCTACCGTTGGTGACAGGCATAACAGCTCAACTGTGCTCTTTCTCTGTTAGTGAAAAGACAGGTTGTTCCCTGTAGTTGTGGAAAATCTTGCAATTCTGTTGTCTCTATACGTAGTCTTGGAAATACATTGTTTGTATGCATGTTCCATATAGACTGTGGATGTGCAGATGTTTGAGAACAGAGGCAACAAGGCACGTAGGTATGGATATGTTAATGTATATCCTCTGTTGTTCAACATAAAGGATGAAGGGAAAAGAATGCAATATAGCCTTGAGTCCCTCTTAGTACCAAATATACACCTTTACTACAGAAGGATATCAAAGCAGAAGTACATGTGGTAGTTTGAAAATGTGCATACAGAGCACACATCTCCAAGCAGTTCCAGTTACTAGTAAGTAATTTTCTCCCCTTCTAAGTGATTGCCAATATGTATATTTAGTTCTAGTGAGGCCCAAGAAGAATCCTGTGCAGTTTGCTTGGTAAAAAATCTTGTAATGTTTTAGGGGAAAAGCAACTGTTGGGTGTCATGTTTGAAGTCTGCAGTGCTAGATGTAGCTTTGAGTGTAACTTGAAGGGAAAGGTCAGCAGGAAAATGGTAACTACGGGACATATCGAGGCTGCACTTAAATTATTCCAACCTGGCCTCTTACTGCAGGTCTTGGTAGAGATCTATGGGGTCTGACAAGCTTTCAGCTAGAATAGCCATGCCCAGAGATCTCTGCAGCAAGGAAAGAAGGGTGAGATTTGTCAGGAGAATCCTGTGCTAGCCAAATACAAAGTGGTTGTCAGTGAGTGAAGAAGTGTTGGCACTTGAGAGCCCTGATTTGAGAAGGTATTTTTATTGGTTTAAATAAGTCAAGAGACATCTCACATATAAATTTGGAGTGAGCTTGCAGAGTAATTTATACTGTTAAGGGTGATCAGCAACAGGGGCTCTAGCTGCCCAAAAGACCTGCCTTATTAATAGGGGAAGAGCAAGTGTTTGGCCATGGAGTGAGTGTTGGTATGTATGAGAGGAGAACCCCTCTCATTCATCTTTGAGCAATATTGCTATGGTGGGATGGAAACCACCAAAGGGCCCTTCACTGGGGTACTGGGGTGGATGTGTGCAGGACTGAGATGACCACAGGCTGAGACTTCACCAAAAGAGAAGAGATTCTCCTCCAAAAGATACTCCAGGTCAAGCAGAAGGGATCCTTTTTAAGACCCACATGGTTTTCATTTTAAATGTATCTTTTGGGAATTCTTTTGCCATCAGAAAAGCATTTCTCATCAGAAAAATGTGTGCTCTAATACCTGGAGACATCTAGTGAGGTACATGGAACTGAGTTTGGAATGGAGACATGGCTGTGTCTGAGGGGTCAGGTATGAGTCCCATAACAGTAATGAATGCTCAGTTCATATTGAGTCTGCACAGGTGGTGCTCAGCCTGCCTCTGACAGGCTGGGATACCCATCACTTTTCTTGACTCAGTTCATTGTGGCACTGCTTGCCATCCATAAGAGCAAAACTGGAGGGGAAGCTTACAGCTGGGTTTGCGCTCACGAGCAATAGTTTTTCAGCAGGACTCGTGGATTTTTAGTGTCTGAAATTAAGTTAGCTTTCAGAGTAGCTGAAGTTGGAAGCTCCAGCTTAAGAGCATCCAGAAGTGTGTGCACACAAAGTCAGAGCAACTTGGCTTCAGAGTTTGTATCTGGCGGGATTCAAATAAGACTGAAAGAATCAAGAGTTAAAGAGGGAGTGAGGGAACAAATTTAAGGGCTCGTATTGTGAAACATCACATTTGAAAAGGTGATGATAAAGAGCAACTTCCAAGTCACCTATAGTGAGACTGAGCAGGAAAGCACACTTCTGTCACACACATGCAACCTGGGCAGAGGTAAGGTGTTAGCCTCAGTGTCCTGCCACCTTGTGCTTGGACGTGTGTCTGCCTGCAGCTCAAATGCGTATTATGGACACTTCTCTGAGTAAGTGTTTTTCTCAAGTATATACTAAAGTAGGCCTTGGTATGAAGCTTAAATTAGCCAACAGCACGGTTCAGAAGTGTGACAGCCACTGATAATTATTTTTGGAGTTATCTCTTCACAGCCTATTAGAGAGATCTGTCTCTGTCTTTTCCGGTGTATCACAAATTACTTGTTTGTGCCTTTCTGGCCCTTCTCAGCTTAGTTTCCTGATTACTGTGCCCTAACTGCTTGGCCCACAAAGTAGCCATGATCATGTAGCACAAATAACAACTGAGAAGTCTTAGTTAGTCAAAAATTACTAAATCTTGCTTACAGAGACAAGATTTGAGAAAGGAACAGCCGTACCAGTCAGTCACCTTTATGTTATAAACCCTGAAGTTCAGTCATTCAGGCACTTGTTACATAGCATAAAGCTCATGTACTGTTGAAGTGTCTTGTTTTGCTGTATGCTTGTTCTCCCAGCTTTTAACACTGACTCCAGGAAGATTGTTTTCCTCCTGGAGGTCTCTCATGTGGCACAACCATACCGTGTTGTGAACCCAACAGGGCATTTCAGTTTCTCAACCAATAACCACAGCTCTAGGGTACTAAAATCCAGTTAGTACTGTATGTGTTCATGATTTAGGTAAATATGGAAAATTCACATATTTGTCCATCTCATAACACTGTTAACCTGTATCATAAATGAGTGAATGTCTATATTGCAAGAGAAGTAAAAACATGAAGTGCAGTCCTAAAGCCCAGTGTAATCCAGATGCTTTTGTGTTCAAGGTGAAAGAAGGTTCAGTAGCATCTGTCATCTTATTTGCTCTTTCAGGTAAATTCCACCGTCTCCGTCTTGAGGCAGATGAGCAAACCATTTGGGTTGATAAATGTGTGAGCCATGAGAACTACACCAAGGAGACATCTGATAATGACATAGCCATGCTGCACTTGGCTGAGCCTGTGATGTATAACAAATACGCGCTCCCTATCTGCCTTCCCACCCGTGACCTGGCAGAACAGGAGCTGATGACAAGAGGGAAGCAGATGGTGGTAACTGGCTGGGGCAGCACAAGTGATGCTAACAGCAATTACTCTACTTTCCTCAGTTATATCCAAATCCCCATGGTTCCCCGGAATGAGTGTGCCCAGGCGATGAGATTTTCTATCTCTGACAACATGCTGTGTGCTGGGAGCTTAGGAGACAGAACAGATTCCTGCAGTGGGGACAGTGGAGGCCCTATGATCACTAAGTATAAAGATACTTGGTTTTTGGTAGGACTGGTGAGCTGGGGTGAAGGCTGTGGGAGAAAGGAGAAGTTTGGAGTCTACACCAAAGTTAGTCAGTATCTTGAGTGGATCCAACACCACATAGATAAGATGTCAGCTTCTTGGCAGGGTTGATTCTGATACTGGAAGTCTGGAGTATTGTGGCTATGTGCTACTGACAGTATGCAGTGTAATATACTGTCAGATCTTCAGTATTAAATATGGAGTATATGTTAACCTCGTGTACTGTTTTCCTTGGTACCTGTGTTATGCCTTTTTTTTTATTGTTTCTTTTTTACTTAGTTTATATTGGTTAGTTTCCAGGTTATAGGGTTTATTTGTAGCATGGTCCTATACTAGGCCTTACAGGCAAGAGATAATACCCTGTTACACTGAGATGCTTTACAGCGTTGCAGAAAATAAGATGGTCCATGGTCAGGCAACTCCATCTTCGTGTATAAAATGACTGAATTGGTTGGGGTGAGGGATGGGAGGGGTCAGAAAAAAGTGTTTTAATGACCATTGTAGTGATACAGTTCTGTCATTCCAGCTTTACTGCAACATGGTCACACTACCTGATTTGGTTTGCTGTATAGTTGTATAGTTTTTCTTTGAACGGGATGGAATTCTAATAACATCATCATTGCCTCCACTCATTCACATCTTGCTCCAGTGCTCACAGATTAAGCTGATTCAGCAGGTCACTCAGTGCCTGATTTTACCCCCCATAAGACTTCCTTAGAAGTCAAGGGGAGTTCTGTGTTACTACAAAAAAAGAGGTTTAACTTCAAGCTTTTGCATGCTCTATTTAATTTAAGGCCTGTAAATCTTTTCAAATTAGTAAGCTAAGCAAATGCATGTGTTCATTCCAATTCTAGTGAATGCAGTCAGCCGCAGGCTATTTTAGCATTGCTAATACCTACTGATATGTGTGTCTGTGTTTGCATCTGGGCCTGTATATCTGTGTGTATATCAGGAACTAAATAAACCCACAGCACCAGTAAGTTCATAGGAAAAGCAGTAGTCAAGATGAAGTTTAAATCACAATTTATACTTTCTTTTAGTCTTAGCACTTAAGCTTGCTAAATATAATATAATATATATAATCTTGTAGAAACAAAAAGGTGAAACTAACTGCTGTAGTGATGTATGTTTCCAGCATTTCTATCAGGATTTGGACCCATCTTTGTATCAGTGAAGAGCTTCAGTCTGCTACAGTGATGAGATTGCTAAATGAAACAAACTTCAGGTACAATAACATTGTGTTAGGCTTTGTAAGAAATTTAATATGGTGCCAGCAAAGAGGTTTAATTCCTCTTGAACTTGTGGACTTAGTCTTGTTGACTTACAAGCTGCTTACATGTTTAATAAGCAAGTGCTGAAGTTGATTCATGCGTTAAAGTAGCAGTCATGCTAAGGGCTTCATGTTGGAGGTAAGCTGAGACCGGAGAGCACAGTCAGCAGTCTCTTGTCTCTCTTTTTCTTTTTTCCCCTGCCCTTTTTCATATGGGACTGGATTGAAGGATAAATGGACCTTAAAGAATAATGCTTTGAACAGCAGCCTTCCAGCCAGAGCCTGCACCAGGAACATGTGCTTCTGAGAAGGCTGGCATTGCCAAGCACTGAATTGCAAGGAAAAATGTTGTTGTGTTCTAAGCCAGTAAAATATGGCTCTAATTAAAGGCAGAAATTGTAATGTCCATGAATAGCTGTGACTATTGCAGGGCAATATTTGCCTTCCTGCAGGTGACTGCTATGAATTCTTCTATACTTACAGCTCTGCATATTTTAGCAGATGCTTACAGAGCAGTTTGTGTATTTTCCAGATCAACTGGTATTACCTTAAAGATAATGGAGCATCAGAAATCTCTTATACAATCTAGATTTTCCTAAAGAAATCTGTTGCAAAGGTGTGGCTTTCATTGTTAGAGGATGCTTTTAAGGACTTTTAAATTTAATTATTTTTTTAGTGTCCATATGTATGTGTGTGGAAACACCCAGTTTTCTTCTGATTTTGGATTTCAAATGTGTTTCATAGAACCCAGAAGGTTGTCTCTTCTCTGTCAATATTTGTGACTGGTTAATTATCAACCCCTTGACCTCCTGGCTGATCCTGGTGTACATCCAAATCTCTGTCCTGTCTTTCCCTAAAAAAAAATAAAGCAAAACAGTGAGTATATTTGCATGGTTCTGTGTACAGTGAACGCATTCTGGATCCTGTGGGTCTGGCAAATGATCCGTGTAGCAAAGAGGAATGCGCTGTCAAATCCTCATAAATTATTTAGCTTGGGAAGGTATTGTGCAGAAACAGAGACTTCTGGCTTGTAACTTTTACTGCCCGGTATGTGGTGATGGTTTCCTCACTGGGGTGTGTGTATGTGGACTGATTTGACAAGGCCATGAGAAGCTGCTGGCTGCAGTGTGCAGCTCAGCCCTCAGCCTGGGATCCTTTGCAGTTTAAACAAGGCTATCACTGGAACTGGCTCAGTTTGGGCCTGATCCACACCTCCCATGTTCACCATAAGGGTTTTATTCCTTCTGTGAGCTTCGGATCAGGCCCTACACCACGTCCTGGTCTAGGTCAATCTCTGCACATTGCTCTGCAAACTGTTGGGATTCCTATTGTTGTGTGCAGCATCAGTGTGGCTTGAAGAAACAATGGGTATCAGATAAAAAATGAACTGGGTAGAATTTGCTTGCTTTATCCCTTCTTCTGCCACCTTGCTTCTACTTCTGTTTGGTTTTTTTTTTGCAGGTTAATTTATCCTTGGTTTTATGATGCCAATTATATTTATTTGTTGTATATGTTATGTTATATATTATATTATATTAATTATATTCCAAAATATACCAATATCATTCTTTTCCCTCTAAAAGGAGTCATCAGGAAGTCAAGAGTATTCTGAATGCACACTAAAATGGAAAGCAGTTCCTCGCTTGTGATGTTTCTCCTACTGATGTGTTCCATCAACAGCAGCTGTACATATGCATATTCAGGTAGGTACTTCTGAATTACCTTTTTAACTTTATTGTCTCATTGTGACAATCTTGCATTTAAACTGAAACTACATCCCTTTTCTGAACACAAAGTCCTGTGCGTTGCAGAAGCCACTTCCAAAAATGCACGCAAACAAATGAGTATTCATATTTATATTTCCAAGAGAAATCAGCCTTTCTTAACTTCCTACTTAGACCACTAAGAACTTTGCTGTTGCAAAGTATTATCCTTGTGACACTGAACGCATCATCTGAACTATATTTGTATGTCAAAGCTTTCCAGTTTGGGAAGCTAAATTAGGCATTTTTAATGTGTGTTCCTGGACCTCATGTTGATTTTACTACAACTACACAAGGTTAGGAAATGGCTTCAGAGAGCTTTAGAATAAGTGTGAGAGTGTGCAGGATCTCAGGAATCATTATGGCTGTCCTTGCAGAGGAGGAAGAACAGAAGTGGCATCTGCAAACCAGAAGACTTTACACAGGCATATCCTCTATGTGGGATACCTGCTTACAATAGGTAAATCATTTAAAGATGACCCCATAACTCAAGGTGAGGTGAAGGGCAATTTTATGTAAGTGAAAGACATTTTCCTCATTACCAGACAGCAGGATATACTCAAAGTTTTTCTCAGCTTAGAGTTTTTGTGGGCTGTTTCTAATTGCCTAGAAATGAAGCAATTTAATATTCTAGAATTTCAGTCATTTCTGTAGATACCAACCATGCAGCTGCAAGGAAATGTCTGTCTTGATGGTCCATCTCCAAAGCTGGGGTTCTTTGTCAGGTTTTGACTTGTCCAGGGCACTAAACTATTACTAGGGAAAGAGAGTCCCATTAAGTGCTGTGTCAGTTTCAGTAGGCTTTGTCACAATTGCAAAGTGAGCTTTCTTAAAACTCTTTAAACTCTTAACAGCAGTTTTTCAATCTATCAGGTGGATGGGTTTGGATATAGGGTCACACTTCTGGAGATATAACAAAAAAGCAAAACGTTTATCTTCTCTAAGTAGTGATGGCACATGGTATCAGTACACCCACAGGAGCTGAGTGAGCATTCACTTCCCTTCCGAGCATCCTGACTGGAAAGTCCTTGGAGTACTGTGCTTCAGCTAGAGGTGCCATATGGAGCAGCAGGGATATGTGGGGAGGGCCTTACTGCCCTATTCCCTCTTCTGGCCCCTCGTCTCTTAATTTATTGGCAATAATATCTCTAAAGACATTGCAGGAGGAGGGCCCATAGCTTAGTGATGTGAAGTTGTGAGTAACTAAATATAACTACCGACGTGACAGCTTATGTATGTCTTTTAATGAAGGAGTGGTGTCTGTCCTGTTGTGGCCAGCTACCTGGAAAGCACAGATACTACTGAATATGTAACAAAGCTGACACCAAATACAAACCAAACCTCTCCCTTCAGCTTTATTTCTGCATGCACACACAGGCAATTAACAATTGTTGTGGATCAGGACTGTTAGGCAGAAAAATACAACCAGCCTCACTGTGATACTCAAGAGTCTTGTGGAGTAAAACATAATTTGTGCACTTAACTGCAGGTCTTTTGATCCACTAAAAGAAAGCTTAAACTATCAGTGTCTTCTGATGGAACACAGGCTCATCTTACTTAGTTTTGGGCTATTTATGCAGATTCCCACTCCCCTTCTTTGTGTTACTTACTCAACTGAGAGCGCGTGTGACTGCGACTGTGACTGTAACGGTGCCAGTTTGCTGTCTTCCAGTATCAACTGCTCTGTTTTGTTTTCTAGTGTTCATGAGGAAGGATGAAGCACACGAGGTGCTCAAAGTCCATAAACGCGCCAATTATTTTCTAGAAGAGATTTGTCCAGGGAACTTGGAGAGAGAGTGCAACGAGGAGAAGTGTTCCTTTGAGGAGGCCAGGGAGATCTTCCACTCGCAGGAGAAAACAGTGAGGAACTTTATTTTAGTCAAAACAGGGGAAAGTTAACAATGGCTGGTGCTGACGGCCTTGCAGCACCATGTTTTGAGGGCAAGGTGGGAGCTGAAACTTGTAGGCTGGTAGCACAAACCTTTCACTGGCTGGAGCGTTCATGGATCTAAGCTTTCAGTTTAATTCTCATTCCAGTACAACCCGGTTTATGCACTCCGTGGCTAGTCCATGACACAAATGAAAGCAAGCTGCATGGTGATGATCAGATCTGCTCTGAGAATGTATTTTATGGTTCTAATCAAAATGCTAATTTACATGCACCCTAAAGCACCACATTATCATTTCCTAAATTATATCGTCAGTAACCAGTATGACCACTTACTGACTGCTTCCTTCATTTGTGGTTTTTTGCAGATGGAGTTCTGGTTCAGTTACAAAGGTAGGTTAAAAAAGAAATCTAAACAAATTCTGGGTACAAAGAATTATGTGGCAGTTCAAAACCAGGCTTCTCTTAATTGCACTGGGCCTTGTTTCTTCTTCTTAGGTTTAAATCCATGTAATACAAATCCCTGTAACAATGGTGGAGTCTGCAAAATAAGACACTACAATTACTACTGCATCTGCCCCCCAAGATTTGGAGGAGACAACTGTGAAAAAGGTGAGTACAGGGCACGCTGACGTTCACTGTGAAGAATTAAAGCTGGCATTTGCTCAATAGATACTTGAGTTGAACCTTTGCATAGGCTTCTCACCAAGGAGGTGAGTGGTGTCACCAAGGTTGTCAGTGGTGAATTTTACCTGTCAGTTGTTAAAGATTCTTACATTAGAACAATGTTTTCTCACTTGACAAACTGGGGAACCACCACCCCAAGAAGGGAATTACACTGACAGCGGCTGTAGCTACTTCTGGTTCTGCTGTGCAGAAAAAGAGGGTAGCTGGTGCTACCTCCTATCATACAGCTGTGGCAGTCCTGGGCTCTTCGCTCATCGGTGCAAGCCCTGAGTGGGGCAGGTGGCCACCTCCCATCTTCTCCCAAGAAAGGATAGGGAATTACCTCTTGTCATCACTTCAGAGTGGTAACAGGTCTAGACTCCTGCCACAGCTAACCTCCACTGGAGGTGGCTCCTGGTGAGGCTCTCTTCTCTGTATACTTTCCTTGAGTAAATGCATCAAGCCAAAGCTTAGTGTAAAGCAAACAAATTTGAAATTGTATTTATGTTGTAATATGCCAATAATGAAAAATTAATCGGAAAAACTGCCTCCCTCTCATCAGATTTTTGGTCTTCTGAACTAGTGTATCAGATTTGCAAATGACTGAGGCACAAAATAGAGAAAAACCCAAAACCCATAGTGGAAACTATGAATCATAAGTAATATTTTTCTCCCAAGTACTTTTCTCAAACTTTCCTTTTTACTGTAAAGCAATGAAACATGTTTGTTTAATGGAGCAATGTAGAAAGATCTCAGTCAGTTCCTCACAGACTTGGCCCCCACCAAAATGCCCAGTACTTTACGTTTGTCATAATAGACAAGACAAGATGTGCAGATGGATGAAAAATGGATGCATTTAGAAGCACTTCCTCTTCCAGGTATCTTCTTGCCCCTGCTCTACAGGCAAAAAGGCCTCAGGTCAAAACTGGCAGAGGAGAAATGGTAGAAACAGGCAAGCAACAGACATAAGGCCATGTGTTTGGTTTGCTACAAATCAGCAAGGTTTTCTGGAGCTGTGAGGTAGTTCCCTCCAGTCCCCTGTGAGATTTCAGAAGGTTTTATTTCTTGCTTGCTCTCTTGTAACAGTGGTGCTAGAAGGTACTTGGGTCCATGCATAGCAATAACCTGTGCCTGTGTGTTTCCATGGCAGAGAAGTTTGAGTGCTGGTACAAGAACGGCGGGTGCTGGCAGTACTGCAGGGACAGCAGCAGCGCCTTTCACGTGGTGTGTTCCTGTGCAAAGGATTACACCCTGCACGAGGATGGGAAGAGATGCGTGCAAGCAGGTAGCATGGTTTGCTCAGAGTTAGAATCCTGGAACCATAGAATGGTTTGGGTCAGGGTTATTCCTGGGCTCTTACAGGAGTATTGAATCCTATTCTTGAACAGAAGTCCTGCTTTTGTGTTGGGAGTCTGACAGGGCACCACACAACCTAAACTCACATCTTTATTTCTGTCTGTGTTCCCTCCAGCACCATTTCCGTGCGGCCTGATTAAAGCCAGGAGTGCTCTGGAGGAAGAGTGGCTGCGGCTGGAAAGGCTCCCGAGGGGACTACATGAGCACAGGGATGATGAAGCCAAGAGGAACGAGCGCACAGAGGGCACAGTTATGCAAATGGAGCTGAAACAAAGTGCTGCTGGGGAAAATGAGACCTTAAAGGATGGCTTTGGGCAGAGCATGCACACACAGAGTGACACAGGACAAGCGGAGGTGGCAGGGAACAAAACCCTGGTGGACTCTGTGACACAGAAGCCACTGGGGGCTGGTTTCTCTGCACACAGTGAGGCAGTGGCAGGCACCGCCAGGCCTGGTGAGCCCGAGGGAAGCCTGGCTCTGTGGCATGAGGCCACCCAGAGCCCTGTGTGGCAGGAGGAGACCACAGAGCCTGCTGACAGGCAGGAATCGATGGAAAATGCCATCCAAACAGCGCGGGCTGGGCTTCATCAGAGCAGTGACTGGGGACGTGTTTCAGACACACCTCAGTTTGTCCAGATGAACGTCAGCTCTAATTTACAGCACAACGGCTCCAGGATAACGGGAGGAACTTTGTGTCATCGTGGGCACTGCCCCTGGCAGGTAATATGTCCTGTCTGGCCATAAATACCACACAAATTGTATACTTCAAATACTTTCTTACTTTGTCACCACTGATTGCAGCGGGAGCAGAGTTCATCAGGCCATTGTACAGTGGTTTTTCAGCCATCTAGCCACATGTATTTCTCAAACTTCTGCAGGTCTTTTTGATGATAACACACCTTAGTTGTCTTTTTTTCATCATTCCTCCTGCTATCCCATCCTAGATATAGCTGCTTTTGTGATCTCAGCTTTCCCTTTAATTCTATCAGCTGGGTCTTCTCCTGCTCTTCAGGTTCTTTTTTTTCTCAGTGTTCTCAGTGAAAAACTGTCCTTCCACTCCCTTTGCAATGGCTGCTGCTATTTTTCCTGTGACCAGGTAAGATTCTCCAGTAGACTGCTCAGCTTCTCAAACTTGGTAACAGTAAGGGAGGTAAAACTAAGAGTGCTCAGATATGAAGGTGGGAATCCCGCCTTCATATAATAAAAGTGTTTCTTTTATTTCCACTGTCTTTTTTTTTTTGTTCAGGGGTGGTTTGGGGTTTTTTTGGTTGGTTGGGTTTTTTTTGGTGATTTTTGGTTTGGTTTGGGGGAGGGGGTGGGGGTGGGTTCTTTTTTTTTTTGGTTTGGTTTGGTTTGGTTTTGTTGGTGTTTTTGTGTGTGTGTCTTTTGCTTTTGGGTTTTTTTTTTTTAATCTTGGTTTGGGGCTTTTTGTGTCTTTTTTGTTACCAATTTTTCACTTATTTATACTGTCTCTGTTTCATCAGTGCACTGTTATTTAGGGGTTTGTTAACAGACTGACCTAAACCAGCTGTGGTTACTGCCGGTGTTTTAGTGCTGTCACGCAAGATGACTTTGCTGTTGCACCCATCAGGAGATATTTTACAGGGGGAAACAGGAGACTGAACCTGTGTGGACCACATGGCCCCTGTGCAATCCTGCAAGCTGATAGGTCACTACTGGGAAACTGTTAAAAGTTTAAGTCAAAATGGCTTGTGATGTAACCGTGACATCACTCCAGAAACTCGTGTTGAGCCTTTTCCCACTATTTTCATTGTTAACTTCATAGAAACTGCAGAATTACCAAAATTTAAGCTTTCCCTGCGGTTTAACACATGAAGTTAGTAGGTTCAGGGAGGAGTTTAATTGAAGAGAGGTGGAGGCATTACTTGAGCTTGTAATTCTGAATAGACAAGACAAACATCTAACAGTGAGCAGCGTGTTTTTATTTCTCCATTTTCTACTGTGTAGATAATGCCAGATTTCATTATCAGCAAAAGAAAACCAACACAGTTTCTCAGTCTGCACTTACTGGCACTTTCATTTGACAGCTGGGAATGTGAAAAAAAGTTTTCTATACCTTGTTCATGTACACAAATGCTGCTCTCTTTTTTAACCAGAGTACCAGTGAAATACACCTTGTGTTACCCTTCTCCCGCACCCCCAGAGAAATGTGAAGGCGCATGATAAATCACACTTGTTTCTTTAAAGGAATGCCAGTCAGCATAGCTCTAATCCTGTTGGATTTGGCAAGCCTGGTTCATTGTAACATTCTGCTCCATTGTCACAGATGTGCAACCATTTTATTTTATGACTGTTTTAGCAGCATCACTGTATTTGCTGCACTGTAGATATTGCCAAAAGTGTTGTTTTCAAGACACAGAGCTTGCACCCAAGCTGCATGAAACTGATGGTGTGCACACATACACAACAGAGCCCTGGTGACGTGTTCTTCTTCCTCCTACAGGTTTTAATCCGGAATAGCAAAGACATTGGTTTCTGTGGAGGGAGTTTAATCAGCAGCCGCTGGGTGGTCACTGCTGCTCACTGCCTTGATCTCGTCAGGCCACACCACGTCACCATAGGTGAGCACAATTTGTGTATTGTAGACACACTGGGTAATCTCTTAACATAAAATGTGCTTTGCATTGTACGTGAATTGAGTAAGATATGGTTAAGAAACAGACATCACATCCCACTCAACCCGGATTTACAGACCAATTCCTTTTACTGGTGACTTCTAAGGGTGAAGGACCTCCAGTTGCTCCCTTTTGCTCTCATGGCAATGCTGGGACCATAAGGCACAGGTTTACCTTCTTCTGTCGCCCATTTTGGCAAACTCATCATGCTAGGAAACTGAGCACAGCTCAGGGTGCACGTTAGAAGGAAGAGGGATTCCTGTAGTTGATGGTGTGCTCTCCAGTCAGGATTGTTTTTTAATCAGCCTTAAGATTAGTTTCCTGCTCTGCTGCCTGCTTCTCAGTGCCTTTAACTGCTCCAGCAGAAAGCCCCCCTTTTTTGTAGTGTACCACAGCACTGGTTTCAGTGGCAGGGATTGGAACCCCTTGCAGCTTAGACACACTGTTCAAAATACAGCACTTACTGAAAACAGTGACAATTATTTATGGCAAAATCTCTACTACAGACGCCACCTTCCTCTGTGTGTGTATATTCCTCCAGTCCATAACTTTGTTTTGCCCTCAAAGGGCAAACTGGGAAGCTCTATTTGTTCGATCACATGAGCAGCCTAAGAACTTACTGTCCTAGAGCACGATCTGGTTTGATCTGTCCTGTCTTGGTACAAGAGGTCAAAGCAGTAATTCACTCCAGTTCCTGTCCCCCCATGGCCATACCACAGAGGCTGTTTACAGTCTGATTAACATTTTAACTTGTGACTACAGGAGACTTTGACAAGTATCAAAGAGAGTTTAAAGAACAGAAGATTCATGTGGAGCGGAGCTGGACACATCCACATTATGATTCCAATAACTACAACAGCGACATCGCCTTGTTGTACCTGAGTAGCGCCGTTATTTTCAATGAGTATGCAATTCCCATCTGCCTTCCGAGCCCCAGCCTTGCCACCCTGCTGTCCGAAGAAGGAAGAATAGGGATGGTAAGCGGCTGGGGCGCCACTCACAACAGAGGTTCAACTCTGCGCTTCCTCATGAAGGTCCGGCTGCCCATTGTAAACATGGAGACGTGCCAGAGGTCAATGGACAGGCTCGTCACTGATAACATGTTCTGTGCAGGGCACCACACTGAAGTGGCAGATGCCTGCAAAGGGGACAGTGGTGGCCCTTTCACAGTGTCTCACCATAACACCTGGTTTCTCCTGGGGATTGTAAGCTGGGGAGAGGGCTGTGCTGAGAAAGGGAAATACGGTGTGTATACCAGAGTGTCCAACTACATCCCCTGGATTAAAGAGGTTGTTGAGAGCGTAGCAGATTCTGAGAACTTTTCCATTAACTTTTCTTAATACTGTCCTTGAAATCAAGAATGATTCTATGATTACATTTCAGTTTCAGACACTACAAATTTCCTGGCCTTAATGGTGTAAAACTAAGGTTATCTTTAAAGAAATGTTAAGTCTGTTTACCATAAATGGTTAAATTGTTCATTTGAGTATTACTAAATTCTTGTTATAATAAAGAACTATTCTACAAAGAGCAAAGGGGATGACTACACCTTTACTTAATGTAAATTCTTGCCAGAAGTTTCTTGTTTCAAAGAGAAGAAGTGCTTTCCATTCCCCAAGCCTGTATGCATCTCAGAGAAACAGGCAAACAGTCCTCTACGTGAATAACCTGCTTAAGAAAGGAAGTGCATTTCTGCTAGTGCAGTCTGCCCTCCTAGTTCCGAAGCACTGCTGAACTCAGCAGCTAGGGATCTGTGAAGGGTTGTCACCAGCTACAATAGTTACCTCAAGTACAATTCAGTTGACCCAAATACAAATGTTTTCAGATACAAAACCAAAGTGTCTATGGAATCCTATATTACAAAGTGCACTGGATAAACTGCCTAGGAGAGAATCCTCCCGCTGCAGCAGGAGAAACAGAAAAGGACTGTGAGGAATGAAGTAAGTGTAAACACACTTTATGGGGGAAAAGCCAAAACAATACTAAATGACTAAACGGTTCTCCATCACAATTAAACAAAAGGCAGAGGCATGGTGTGAACCCACCCAGCCCTTCAAAAGCCTGATTACAACACATAAACAAGAAACAGCTTCATATAATAAATACATATATAGACTATTTTATATACATTTAATATATTAACAGATTAATGTATTTACTATATTAAAATACAAATACATACAATACATATTTATTTATAACTATATTAATATATGTTAAAATATTATTAGAATAATCCCAGCTACTATAGGCCTTTCCCAGCTGATAAGGGACCCTGCGAGCAATGTCAGCCCATTTTTTATGCAGAGTGTTTTGTCTTCGGGGGCCCTGCGAGCAATTCCAGACCTCTTTTTCTTGCTGGGCTGTTGAGGAGATAGGGTCCCCTGTTTGCAACGCTGTCCCCCTTTTTCTTGCTTGCATCTTTAAGCCCTGGAGTCCCCTGCGAGCAGTTCCAGACCCCTTTTTCTTGCTGGGGTTTTGAGAAGATAGGGTCCCCTGTTTGCAACGTTGTCCCCCTTTCTCTTGCGTACATGTTTAAGCCCTGGAGGCCCCTGCGAGCATTGCTAGACACGTTTTTATTGCGGGGGTGTTTTGGAGATAGGGTCCCCTGTTTGCAACGTTGTCCCCCTTTCTCTTGCGTACATGTTTAAGCCCTGGAGGCCCCTGCGAGCATTGCTAGACCCGTTTTTCTTGCGGGGGTGTTTTGGGGATAGGGTCCCCTGTTGGCAACGTTGTCCCCCTTTCTCCTGCGTACATGTTTAAGACCTTAGAGGCCCCTGCGGGCATTGCTAGACCCGTTCTTCTTGCGGGGGTGTTTTGGAGATAGGGTCCCCTGTTTGCAACGTTGTCCCCCTTTTTCTTGCTTGCTTGCATATTTAAGACCTGGAGGCCCCTGCGAGCAATTCCAGACCCCTTTTTCTTGCGGGATGTGGTGTCGGGGCGTCGGGGTGAGAGCCGTGCAATGTTTTGTGCTTGGTGGTGCTGACTCGGTTGGGTCCCACAGGGGTGCCGCTGGGTTTGGGTGCTGGGCCTGAGTGCGGGTCGGCAGCATGTGCGGCAGGGCCGAGAGCGGTGGTGGCAGAGAAGAGGCTGCCTACGGCCACACCACCCTGAAAACGCCCGATCTCGTCTGATCTCGGAAGCCAAGCAGGGTCGGGCTCGGTTAGTACTTGGATGGGAGACCGCCTGGGAATCCCGGGTGCTGTAGGCTTTTGCCAGCCGATAGGGGATCCTGCGAGCAATGTCAGCCTCTTTTTGTACGTGGAGTTGTTTTCGTCTTTATGGGCCCTGCGAGCACTTGCAGACCCGTTTTTTTTTGCGGGATGTTGAGGCCACAGGGGGCCCTGCGGGCTGTTCCCCACCCGTTTTTCTCGGTGGGGTGCTGTGGAGGGGCAGGTCCATGGGAGAACCTGTTCCTTTTGTCGGGTGACATGAGGAATGGAGTGTAGCATTCTTTGTGCGGGGGGGTGGTGTCGGGGCGTCGGGGTGAGAGCCGTGCAATGTTTTGTGCTTGGTGGTGCTGACTCGGTTGGGTCCCACAGGGGTGCCGCTGGGTTTGGGTGCCGGGCCTGAGTGCGGTTCAGGAGCGTGTGCGGCAGGGCCGAGAGCGGTGGTGGCAGAGAAGAGGCTGCCTACGGCCACACCACCCTGAAAACGCCCGATCTCGTCTGATCTCGGAAGCTAAGCAGGGTCGGGCTCGGTTAGTACTTGGATGGGAGACCGCCTGGGAATCCCGGGTGCTGTAGGCTTTTGGCAGTTGATAGGGGACCCTGCGAGTAATATCAACCCCTATTTTCATGCCGGGTGTTTCGTCTTTGGGGGTCCTGCGAGCAATTGAAGACCCCTCTTTCTTGCGGGGTGTTGAGGCCACAGGGGGCCCTGCGGGCTGTTCCGACCCCTTTTTCTCGGTGGGGTGCTGTGGAGGGGCAGGTCCATGGGAGAACCTGTTCCTTTTGTCGGGTGACATGAGGAATGGAGTGTAGCATTCTTTGTGCGGGGGGGTGGTGTCGGGGCGTCGGGGTGAGAGCCGTGCAATGTTTTGTGCTTGGTGGTGCTGACTCGGTTGGGTCCCACAGGGGTGCCGCTGGGTTTGGGTGCTGGGCCTGAGTGCGGTTGGAGCGTGTGCGGGGGGGGGCCGAGAGCGGTGGTGGCAGAGAAGAGGCTGCCTACGGCCACACCACCCTGAAAACGCCCGATCTCGTCTGATCTCGGAAGCTAAGCAGGGTCGGGCTCGGTTAGTACTTGGATGGGAGACCGCCTGGGAATCCCGGGTGCTGTAGGCTTTTGGCAGTTGATAGGGGACCCTGCGAGTAATATCAACCCCTATTTTCATGCCGGGTGTTTCGTCTTTGGGGGTCCTGCGAGCAATTGAAGACCCCTCTTTCTTGCGGGGTGTTGAGGCCACAGGGGGCCCTGCGGGCTGTTCCGACCCCTTTTTCTCGGTGGGGTGCTGTGGAGGGGCAGGTCCATGGGAGAACCTGTTCCTTTTGTCGGGTGACATGAGGAATGGAGTGTAGCATTCTTTGTGCGGGGGGGTGGTGTCGGGGCGTCGGGGTGAGAGCCGTGCAATGTTTTGTGCTTGGTGGTGCTGACTCGGTTGGGTCCCACAGGGGTGCCGCTGGGTTTGGGTGCCGGGCCTGAGTGCGGTTCAGGAGCGTGTGCGGCAGGGCCGAGAGCGGTGGTGGCAGAGAAGAGGCTGCCTACGGCCACACCACCCTGAAAACGCCCGATCTCGTCTGATCTCGGAAGCCAAGCAGGGTCGGGCTCGGTTAGTACTTGGATGGGAGACCGCCTGGGAATCCCGGGTGCTGTAGGCTTTTGCCAGCCGATAGGGGATCCTGCGAGCAATGTCAGCCTCTTTTTGTACGTGGAGTTGTTTTCGTCTTTATGGGCCCTGCGAGCACTTGCAGACCCGATTTTTTTGCGGGGTGTTGAGGCCACAGGGGGCCCTGCGGGCTGTTCCCCACCCGTTTTTCTCGGTGGGGTGCTGTGGAGGGGCAGGTCCATGGGAGAACCTGTTCCTTTTGTCGGGTGACATGAGGAATGGAGTGTAGCATTCTTTGTGCGGGGGGGTGGTGTCGGGGCGTCGGGGTGAGAGCCGTGCAATGTTTTGTGCTTGGTGGTGCTGACTCGGTTGGGTCCCACAGGGGTGCCGCTGGGTTTGGGTGCTGGGCCTGAGTGCGGGTCGGCAGCGTGTGCGGGGGGGGGGCCGAGAGCGGTGGTGGCAGAGAAGAGGCTGCCTACGGCCACACCACCCTGAAAACGCCCGATCTCGTCTGATCTCGGAAGCCAAGCAGGGTCGGGCTCGGTTAGTACTTGGATGGGAGACCGCCTGGGAATCCCGGGTGCTGTAGGCTTTTGCCAGCCGATAGGGGACCCTGCGAGCAATGTCAGCCTCTTTTTGTACGTGGAGTTGTTTTCGTCTTTATGGGCCCTGCGAGCACTTGCAGACCCGTTTTTTTTGCGGGATGTTGAGGCCACAGGGGGCCCTGCGGGCTGTTCCACTCCCGTTTTTCTCGGTGGGGTGCTGTGGAGGGGCAGGTCCATGGGAGAACCTGTTCCTTTTGTCGGGTGACATGAGGAATGGAGGGTAGCATTCTTTGTGCGGGGGTGGTGTCGGGGCGTCGGGGTGAGAGCCGTGCAATGTTTTGTGCTTGGTGGTGCTGACTCGGTTGGGTCCCACAGGGGTGCCGCTGGGTTTGGGTGCCGGGCCTGAGTGCGGTTCAGGAGCGTGTGCGGCAGGGCCGAGAGCGGTGGTGGCAGAGAAGAGGCTGCCTACGGCCACACCACCCTGAAAACGCCCGATCTCGTCTGATCTCGGAAGCTAAGCAGGGTCGGGCTCGGTTAGTACTTGGATGGGAGACCGCCTGGGAATCCCGGGTGCTGTAGGCTTTTGGCAGTTGATAGGGGACCCTGCGAGTAATATCAACCCCTATTTTCATGCCGGGTGTTTCGTCTTTGGGGGTCCTGCGAGCAATTGAAGACCCCTCTTTCTTGCGGGGTGTTGAGGCCACAGGGGGCCCTGCGGGCTGTTCCGACCTCTTTTTCTCGGTGGGGTGCTGTGGAGGGGCAGGTCCATGGGAGAACCTGTTCCTTTTGTCGGGTGACATGAGGAATGGAGTGTAGCATTCTTTGTGCGGGGGGGTGGTGTCGGGGCGTCGGGGTGAGAGCCGTGCAATGTTTTGTGCTTGGTGGTGCTGACTCGGTTGGGTCCCACAGGGGTGCCGCTGGGTTTGGGTGCTGGGCCTGAGTGCGGGTCGGCAGCGTGTGCGGGGGGAGGGCCGAGAGCGGTGGTGGCAGAGAAGAGGCTGCCTACGGCCACACCACCCTGAAAATGCCCGATCTCGTCTGATCTCGGAAGCCAAGCAGGGTCGGGCTCGGTTAGTACTTGGATGGGAGACCGCCTGGGAATCCCGGGTGCTGTAGGCTTTTGGCAGTTGATAGGGGACCCTGCGAGCAATGTCAGCCTCTTTTTGTATGTGGAGTGGTTTTCGTCTTTATGGGCCCTGCGAGCACTTGCAGACCCCTTTTTCTT